TCACAAAGAAAGCACAAAAGCAAGGCCAAATAAGGCCTAAGAGGGGGTAAACAACCCCAAACACAAAAGTGACCTTAAATAAAGATCTTAAGCACCAAAATACAGAACTTTTTTCAGTAGAAAGCTAAGCTCAAAACAGCATGCAAAAGGGCTCAAAAGCTTAAGCAAAAATGGGGGTTTTAAGGGTTAAAGACTCACCCTTGATGAACTTCTTCAAGGCGGCAACTCCAGCAGGTTTTTCAAGCTCAAACCAACCCAAGAACACCAAAACCAGCTCCTAAGCACCTCAGTAGCAAAAGGATGCTGTTTGAGTGTGTGCTTGTGTGTTAAAGTAAGACAAAATGACACTTTTGAACACAAAACAAGAGCAAAATGAAGAAGTATAGATATAGATTATATGTATCACTCAAGGAACTTTTTTTCTGACCCTAGAGGAAGGAGGAGATGGTTCTCTCTTATAGAGAACCAAAAGCAAAGCTTCTTGGAGAAGCTAAGGTTCAAGGCAATCCCTCCATACACGTGTATGGAGGATAGCTTCAGTGCGCTCCAGTTGAGCTGGAGGAAAATATCTCCAAAAATGTGGCAAAAAGCGGCCGACCACCACAAGTGGTCTCCCAAGACAACAAGCGGTTGGCCATGGTGGGAGATGATCAGCACACTAAAAACAAGCTAGGGGTGGGGTGGTCAACCAGAAAAGATGGCTCAAAGACCTAGGAGACCAGTTGTCAGATTAGAAAACTGGCTGACGGAAAGAAAAGTGGTCTCCAAGGAAAAAACTAGTCCCCCACCCTTGTACCACCTTTAAAACAAGGAAAACAAGGTTTGTATCAAAAACAAACCAAAACGGATGCAAGACGAAAGTTCGGGAGGCAAAGCGCGCAGCCGGGAGTCTCGAAAACTAGCTGACAAGCACCAAAAGTGGTTTATGACCACAAAAGTGGTCTCCCAAACCACAGTGGCCCTCTAGGCCAAAGAAACAAGGTATGGTTCAAAAACCAGGCCAAGCGGAGAACGTTAAGCGGTCCCGAGACAAGGCACGCGGCCGAAGGCTTCGAAAACCGAAAACTAGTCTCCAAACGGGAAAAGTGGTCTACGACCATGAAAAGTGGTCTACGACCACAAAGAGATGGTCTACAAGACCTCTCCCTCCCTCAGGCAAGGAAAACAAGGCTTGGTCCGCAAACCGGGCCGAAACACAAAGAGTTCAGAGGCCCGGAGGCAAGGCTCTCAGCCAAAACTCCGAAACCTCGAAACGAGCACGACATGCACTATCATTGAGTGCTCAATTGATGACGTTTGAGTCTTAAGGCCGGTCAAAAATGGGGTGTCTACAGCTAGTTATCAAAGGATACCAACAACGAGAAGACTTGGATTATTTTGATACGTATTCACCTATAACAAAGATAACATCCATTCACATGGTCATTGCAATAGCAGCTTAGGCTTTACGTGGGCTAGAGATACATCAAATAGACGTAAAGACAACTTTCTTAAATAGAGATTTAGATGAAGAAATCTATGTGAAGCAACCCGAGGGGTTTTCAGCTCAAGGGGTAAGGTAACAAAGTCTTTAAGCTTGCCAAATCATTGTGTTGTTTGAAACAAACTCCTAAGCAATGGCATAAGAAATTTGACGACGCTATGTTGTTAAATGGGTTTAGAATCAATGAGTGTGACAAATGTGTATATGTCAAAGACACTGACAAAGTGTAACAAGCCCGCGGGGGACCTTGCTACAGCTCGGACTCGACTTCTGTAGTCACGGTTCTAAATCTGAACCAAAGAGTCCAAATCCGGCAAATCGTTTTGAGAAAAACAGATTTTTGAAAGAAGTGCCAAACATGGACTGCTTTGCCAGATACATACGTTGATGACATACTCATTGTTGATAGTAATGATGAGATTATTAGAACTACCAAGAGATTGTTAAACTCTAAGTTTAACATGAAAGATATAAGCCTTACAGATGTAATTCTGGGTATTAAGATTACGATAACTACTCTCTAATGGAGTTGTCTCTCTAGACTATGTAAAGTCTAAGGACAATATTATGGATCCGTGAACCAAAGAGTTAACTCGAGAGTTGTAGAAACGTCATCAAGAAGAATGTGGTTAAATGTTATCGGAATGAAAAACCCAACCTAGTTTACTAGAGATCCAAAGATCTAGATTCAAAGGGACAACCTAATTGTGTATAACGGGTAAGTCACTAAAGAGGTAAATCCTCTTACCTATTTCTTTATACAGTGATACCTTGTGGGGGTGAGAGGTTAAGTTAATGTTTTTAATGACTTAAGTGATGTGAATAGTCAACCGTGATATAGTGAGGTACCTTATGTAGGTCACCTATGTGAGTGCAAAGTGGGGTCGCTTCTTTAAGAATTGACAAAGCCGAATTCTTTAAAAACACTCATTGAACCAAGCTAGTGCTCTAGGGCCAAACCAAATACAACAGTGAGAACAAGAACAATGGTTGGAGTAACTCCTATGTGAGATCTATTGTCTCGGTTTACACAAACAACAAAACAGTTCAAGATATCACGTTCACTAGTCAGCCAATAAATCCGATGGTCTTTCATTACGAAAGGTTGAAGGCCACCAACTACCTTTTGTGATATAAGGTTAGTCTGTGTGCTCTCTCTCCGAGTCTTTGTTATTAAACGTTGTCCATTTCTCTTTATTCGGTTAATTTTTATTTATGTGGGAGATTGTTGAAAAAAATGGTTTTATGGTGACTTTAATGTGAAGTTAAAATTGGTCCCAACTAGCAGTTGAGGTGGGATTAAATGGGTCTAGATTCTTTGTTTTTAATAAGATCTTTACACCACAAAAAAATGACAAAAACCATTAAGTATTGAATGAAAAGTTGTCTCATAAAGTTGGCCTCATGAATGAGATATTGGGAATGGTATGTAACCACTTATCCCACATTGATTGTAGAGAAAAGTATTGATAGATATTTAAATCCCAAGTTTTTTATAAGGGCATGAGCCCTTTGGGGCATACAAATTTTCTGAAGAAAAGAAGTTATAGATACTTTAAGAATGGGCTTAGATCAAGACTATAGTCCAAGTTAGTTATGCAAAAAATGACACACGGGCGCGCACATGTGCGCCGCCCGCTTGAACAAGATCGGGCCGAGTCCATGGATCTTAGGACCTTGGACTTGGGCTTGAGCTTGGGGCTTGGGGCTTAGGGTTTGAGACTTGAGGCTTACTGGAATGGGTTAGGTTTGGGCTGGGTTGGATTAGTGGCCTATCAACCTAATCTTTTTTTAACTAGGTCAAATTGATGGCTGCAGATATACACACATATGTATATAGAGTGTGTAACTCATACACATAGTCCATCAGTTTTCTGTATTTGTTTCAACAGTTTTGCAAAAATGAATTCTGCATTTGTTGCTGGAAGACTCCTCATCTCTCTCCCTTTGTGTATAAATTGAGGTCATTCTCTTTGGTTTGAGTACATAATTTTTGCTCTCATCTTATAGTCAATCTACACATATAATTCTTCCTATGCGAGAGAGTGCTGCCATTGTCAATTCGCCAGAGCTGTACAAAATGTGCTTCTGACTTTGCGAGTTCTAACCATCGTATCCTGAGAAATAGACGTTGTCATACCTCCAGCAACCACGATGAGACGGTAAATCTGTTTTAAGGAGACTGTAGTATTACATAAGTTTCTGTTTGCTTTCTATACTATTTCATTTCAATATATATTTTTGTTTATCAAGTTGTAATCTCCAGTATAATCCAGTTCTACAAGTTCTTGCTTTGTAATTTAGATTTAATTAAATATGAATCTATTTATATTTATTTAAATTAAACATTTTGCACAACAATCTCTTCTTGTTTACGCTTATCTCACTTTCTATATCACCATTACAAGAAGGTTCACACAAGAATTAATACGAACAAAAAAAAGCAAAAAAAGACAACAAAAAATACTTATCAAAATAATTGAGCATCTTGGGTAATACTCCATTGTTCTTGCTTGCTTGGGTATGTAGGTGTGCTTACCGTGGTTGGGTGTTTCAAGGTGAGTGGAAACCTATTTAGATAGTGTGTATAAGATTTGAGTTAAGGTTATAATTAAAATATACGAATAGGATGTGTGCACTGTGATATGATATGCATAGAAATGAAAAGATGGAAATAAAATTTCCTTTAAAATAACTCCCTAAAAGACAAAATATGTTAAAATAGTCAATAAAATAAAATATTACATCTAACTCATAATCATTTCAATTTTCTATCACAATCATCAAAAAAAAAAAAAAAAAAAAAAAAAAAAGCCAACCAACTTCTCAAAAATAATTTTTTTAGTTAGATTAAAATAACCAAATAGTGCACTTCTCAAACAAAACCTAAACAAAGCCACACCTAACATAAATACACTTAAAAAGTACAATATTTGTGAAAAAAATATTTAAAAAATTCAATAAATACTACAAATACAACAAAAAAAAATTACAAAATTCAGTACATTTTTCATCTTTTTATATATTTATTAATTTTTTAAAATATTTTTTTACAAATATTTTACTATTTAAATATATCTAAATAAGATACATATAAAAAGTAAAAAAATTATTTAAAATTTTAAAAATATTCACTAAAAATTAAAAAAAAATACGAAAAATAAAAAATTTAATTTTCAAAATATTGAATTTAAAAAATTAAAATCAAACATACTGAATATTTCCAGTGTAGTTTGCATCTACGCTATCTATTAAAGGATGATATTGCACACACACCACCCAATAATTACGTGTTTGATAACCTTGTTTATGATTGTTGATGGATGGTATGAGTGAGGAGGAGGATTAGAGGAGTTGGCTGTTGATGGTGAAAAGTCATAAAGAAAGGTTAGGAACCAAGGAAGGAAGAACTAGAAAAAACGACCCATTACATTATATTCTTACATATATACATCTTCACCAAAACATGTTTGTTTTATTTTTAGTCACAAAGCCATCAATGGCACCAAATATCTTCATCCAATTGAAGCATGCATTTTTAACTCATTCCAAGAAAAATCTTTGAAACATTCAGCAGGCAGGTGCTTTGCATAACTGTAAACAATGTATTAACTCAGGACGCAGACACTACATTAGCCAGACAACAAATTTGAAAGCGAAAAAAAAAATCAAATAAAAAAAATTAGAGAGTCAAAATTTAAGTATTTCACAGACACCCCTTATTGTCCAAAAGATAAAGATATTGTTGACTTCAAATATTGTTAACCCCCCTCCTCTGGCCCCCTTCTGTATGCCAACATTATGAAAAGAAGGGTAAAAGGAACTGCTAGAGAAAGCATTTCCTTCAACTTTCTTGATCATCAGTGTAACGGAAGAGAGTATCCCCGGAGGTATGTAGAATCTACTCCAGATTCCCGCACCAACGCCACTCGCCCAGTTCTCGCTACCTATAAAATAAATCACAACCAAGTAAGAGGAAGTGCACTAGAATAAAAAATATAAAATAAAAAGATAAAGATAATGCTTCTGCCTGCTGCAAGACATTCTATATGAAATGATTTTATGTTACAACTGCTCTCCAAATAATTTCACCAATTTTTCCTGAAAATTATGATTGCACCTTGACCAAACTCAGGTGCCCAAAAAGACATGCATATGAGCCTTGTACCCCAAGCACGTATTGTATTTGACAATACATTATTAGAATTTAGACACATGGCACAAGTTAAGGTAAGATAAGTGCTGCCAAACCCACTACAAAACAAAACCCAGTTAGTTAGGTCCACATACTAAAACCACCATGAGCAAACGCTCTTCATTAATTTATCTATAATAAGGAGGCTAGGGTTGCCAAATCTTTCCTAGTGCCACAACATAGATCATCCCTATATATCATAGCGAAGCTATAATGACTCCATGGATGTTGTCCTTGTTTTGGGGTGAACCAAAACAACTCCTGGAGGTTTGCCAGGACTTGTTTTGTGTGTATCCTTGATCTACTTCGTTCTAGATTTGTTTTTTGTGTGTGTAATTGCTCAAGTCCTACAGGTTTTGTGAATTGTTACTGTCAAAACCACAACAACATAAATATCCAAAAGGATAAAAAAAAATCAAACCCCACAATAACATCCACTCATCCATATTCAAATTTACGACAAGCAAAAAAGATAACAAAAATACATGAGCGTTCCCAAAGTATTATGCTTGTGATGAGATCTGGACGCAATTTGGGCAAAACAGGAACATTGGGAGACCAACCTCACAAATGCCATAGGGCTCCAATAAGTTCTGCAATGCAAGCATCTTGTTGAAATCTCCTGTTAGCTGAAACAATTAAGAATGGTAAAATGTTACCAACAGGGAAAAAAAATGTAAAAAAAATATATATATATATATAAATGAAGGATAAAAAAAATAAAATAAGAACAAAGACAGAAAGAAAGACAACAAACCAATTTTTTTTAGTCAAGACAATGAGCCAAGACAGGCATACCAGCATGAGTGGACCTTCAACTAGTTCTAAATTCTACTCCAGATGTTTTACCAATTAAAACCTTAGTTTTATTTTATTTTTTTTCTTCTTCTTTAGATCTTCACACAAGAATATTATGTTGCTGATAAGAAAAAGAATATCAATACTCTACCATAAATCTGTAAATTGGAAATCCCTGAAACTTTTTGGTGTTAAACAGAACATTCTGCAGCATCAACAATCCCTATATAAAATAATACCAGACAATTTTCATCTAATGTTTAAAGCAATTTCATGATTCGTAGGTTCTTATGTGGAGAAGCTAGAATTCGCATAAGCATTGCAAGGTCAATTATGGCCTTGTTTGGGGTGTACTAATAAGTACACACTTTTTATCTTTTTTCCATCACATCACCTCTTTACTTTTCTGCACATCTTTTCGTAAAAAGTCAAAAAGTGCACTTATTTAGATCATCCCAAACCACCCCTATAAATTTGAGCTGGTTTTAAAATACAGTAGAAAAATTAGTTATATAAAAAGATGTCAGTTGTTCAGAAAACATCATCTACATTCTGGGTTTGAGTTTCTCTACAAAAAAATCCATCACAAGATCGCTGAATTAAAAACAATAGATGCCAATCATTAATGAAATTAGCTCACAGTTAATAGACAAGGGATGAAGAAGCAATTTGGAAACAGAGCTTTGACATTTAGCCTCGTAGTTATATGCAGAGTTTCAACAGATCACTAGACTTGCTAACTAAAAGCCCTACCACTTGGCAAAAGAGGTTCTGATTTTCAGAGTAGAGCAGTAGATATGAAACCTATTGTTTATGGTGCCTAGCATTTAGTCAATCTCGGGGTTTCTCTGTTAGATAGCTTGATATATATTGTTGAGCCCATTTCCTAACATCTTAAGCTTTTGGAAAAATTGGTGACTTAACAATGTATATCAAAGCTCAAGTTCAGAGAGGCCTTCGGTTCAAGTCTCTCCATTGGCATTTGGTATTCTGTCCCTGTTTGGTTTCTTCTTCTCTGTTTGGTTGTTTACTTCACCTTCTGCTTGGTTTTCTGTTTGTCTCTCCGCATGCAAGACGGGATTGCACGTGAAGGACAGTGTTGGATAGCTTGACATACATTGTTGGGCCCATTTCGTAGTAGCTTAAACTTTTAGGAAAATTGGTGAGTAAACATTATCCAAGTCAATGGTGGAATTATTGCATCATTAAAGAGGGAATAGGATTATGAATAGAACAAGTCAGTCATGGTTCGTGGCTCTTCTTTGTTTGATGTGGTGCATGGTCCCTTTTTTTTTTTTCTTTTTAGTTTTTTGGCGGGGAGAGAGGATTGGGAGGGGGAATGTATAGACAGTCTTACAATGGTGTGCAGGATTTGATTAATCTCTCAAAGTAACTGGAAGTAATCCTTCCCTAAGAAAACTCTTGACAAAATGAAATGCTAAGATAACAGTCTAGCTTTGGTTTGTACATGTCCTGTGTATGTTGGTGTAACCCTATTTTTGGTGCTTCAAATAACATTATATCATTATTTAAAATATAAACAGATAGGTGCTACTTTTTGTTGTTTAACATGTCAACTATTGATCAACCATGATAATGCTTCGGCTCAGATTAAGGTTTGCAGGCATTTTATCTGCTCTTTTTTGCTTCTTTCTTATTGCTCTTTGAGAAAAACTCCACCCCCCATCTTTCCTAGTGCCACAACATAGATCATCCCCCCCAAAAGAATAGAAAATAGGAAAAAGAAAAAAGAAGAAAAATTTATCCAAAAAAAAAAAAAAGAAAAGAAAAGAAAAGGGGAAGAAAATAAAATCCTAAGGCGGTAATAAAAGCCCATTTTAAAGTTTTTTTTTTTTTTTGCAGAAGGTGTAATTTTGGTGGAAATGAATTTAATGATAATGAAATGAAGAACAAATGCAGCACATGTGGAGTGAGGCTGATATCACTTTCCAAGTTAAGACTGCATGTACTTTTCCAGAAGCTGAAGCTCCAAGGAGCAACCAAAGCTTGTGAACTGCTCCTAGAACTTGACAAGTGAATTAAAAAATAAATCAATAAAAAGAATGACACGAGGGTATTTTAGCTTCAAGAGATAATTGCATAGTCTAGCAAATAATTTCACCTCTAATGTTATAGTATGGTCAGACACATCAACAGCTTTGCCCCGGAAAATACTGGCAGTATCAAGAACATCCCTCCTAGCAGCAGCATTCACAGCAACCTTAATCAACATCAGCTCACGCTCCGCAAATGGCAAGTGGGTAATATCTGAAACCTGAACAAACCATCAGCATTCTCATTGTCAGCAATTTGCCCTCTCAAGTTACACATTCGTAAACATAAAAGTTAGTCATATGGCCTAAGTCAAGTCCCTCAAAAGAGTAACTTTAGTTACATGTCAGTGGAACTTTTGTATAGTTCCATGAAACAAGAGCTCATGGTGATGGATTATGGTGGGGTGCACTTATTAGTTTGTAAAAAAAATATTGAAACAGCGAAAAAAATAAATAAGAATAAATAATAAAAAAAAGACAAATGTATAACTTGATCCTCCATTAAAACATGCAAACTCATTTTGTTGCATGCAAATAAGAAAATTGTGGACAAAAAAATTAGAAAAACCATAGCAAATTGTTATTAATAGCAAGAAAGAACTAGTGAACCATGTATTATTAACCATTCTATGGATGGTTATAATGTTAAGTCACCAAGTTTTCCAAAAGCCTAAGCTATAAGGAAATGGGCCCAACAATCTATATCAAACTATCTAACACTCTTCCTCACGTGTAACACTGTCTTGCACGTGGAGAGGCTGTTGGAGAAAAATGGGTTTTTGGTGACTTTGGTTCTAAATTCTTTGTAATAAGATCTTTATACCATAAAAAAGAATAATCAAAAACCATTGAGAATTAAATGAGAAATTGTCTCATAAAATTGGTCTCATGAATGAGAGTTGTTAAGCATTTTACACATGGCCTTAATGGTGTCTTAGACCATGAGACACACATGGCCTAACCAGAGACACATGATTTTGGAAGCCATGACGTACACATGGCCTTGCCATATGCCCTGCCAACGATGCCTATATAAGGGCATGCTCAACATTGTGAAACTGATCACAAAAAAAATAAGCTAAGTTCTATCCTCCTCTTTTCCCCATTGTGTATAAAAGGAGACCATCCTCTTTGGTTGGAGTACAGAAATTTTTTGCTCTCATATTATAGTTAGTCTGCTCCTATAATCTATTCTTCTTGTGTGAAAGAGTGCTGCCAATGTCAGTTCGCCGGAGCTAAGTAGAAGGTGCTTCTGCATTAACTAATTCTAAACCGTTGTATCACACAGGCCTCGGTTTGCTTTCTTTTCTCATTTCAGTATTTTAATTTATTATATGTATCTTTGTTCATCAAAATGTAATTTTCCATGAATTCTTATTTTGTGGTTTTTCCAATTTAATTTACCATGAATCTATTTTTTTTATTTAATTCACACAATTTGTACAACAGAGACAAACAGATAACCAAACAGAATGAGAAGCAAACAACCAAACAAAGAGGAATAAACCAAAAGGGAATATAATACCAAATGCTAACCGAGAGACTTGAACCCAAGACCTCTCTCAACCAGAGCTTTAGTACCATGTTAAATCACCAATTTTCCCAAAAGCCCAAGCTATTAAAAAATGGGTCCAACAATGTATATCAAGCTATCTAACATATAATATGGAATCCATCAAGCACTTAAACACTAGTCTCTTAGTTCTTACTTCTGAGGACACTTCCGTATGCAATAAATGAAATATCCCTCACCTCATGAAGATCCACTAACTTGTAAAACTGCCGAACCAACTTTCCAATAGATTCATCTGTTCCAGGAACAACAGTAGTAATACGTGACAGCCCCTCCTATATAAAAATAAAATATAAATATAGAAAAAAACAATTGTTAAATCAAACCCAATTTCTTTTCTTTTTTTTTTTTTTTTTTTTTTTTTTTTTTTAACAAAAATAAAAATAAAAATAAATAAGAGCACCACCAGGACCAAACTGACCTGAATGTTATAACCTCTTCGAGATATAACCCCAGTAATTATGTTCAGAACTCCAGGAGAGTTATTGACGAGCATGGATAAAGTGTGTGACTGAAGCCCACTTGACTGTAATATTCAAATGAATCAATTAGAATGCCACTTTCTGTGAAGATTCAAAGTTAACTACCTTAATTAATTGAAGTAGTACAAGTGGATACTAGAGCCAGTATTTGGAAACCAATTTAATGCTCAAGAATGTAACCTTAATAAGTTAGAATTCAGAATTAGATGATGATCACCACCCAAAGTCCTTGAGAAACTAAAACTAGAAAAACAGATAAAAATAAATAAAAAAAAAGAGTAATGAGAACTTACTGAGGCCTAGACCAGAGAGAGAGAGAGAGAACTTAACAAGACCACTAAGAATAAAACAACCAAAGGAAGAGGTCACTTTGAAACTTGCATTTTTCAAATCAAATGAATACAACTTATTCTTTTCTTCATGTTGAAGAACTGAATCAAATGATGGTGAGGTTTAACTTTTATGAAGTTGAAAAACAAACATAAAACAAAATGATCCCAAGAAGCAAATAGATCTCTTACATCTTCATCATAGAGAACACCCCAATGAGCATCAAGAATTTGATTCATTGAGATTTCATCATCAGGCTCCACAGGATAGACATCACCACCCTTCATGTAAAAAACAAACGACAACAACCACAAGAGCATGAATTATTTATCCAGAATATCAAAGATTTGGGATGAACAAACATATTATCCAGAAACAGAGAAGCAAAACTGTACCATAATTTTGCAGATCTGGGGAAATGCAACAGAAGGATTAGTATCAAAACGATATATATATATATATATATTATTTTAGTCAACAAGCATCCTCTCCTTTTATCATTTAAAACCAAAATTTAACAACTCTATGCATTATTCACAATACCATGATCACTAAGGATAATTCTTTGGATTATTTGAATCAATCTCCAATTTAGTTCAATTAATTCAAGATTCAAATCAAAAGCCTGTGTGTTTTAGTTTGTTTACTTCTTCACCAACTCAATTTTCTGCTTTCAATTTCTTTACTTAAATTAGCAAATATTTGTCTGCAGTTCAAAGCTCAAACCCTATTTCCCTTATCCAAATAGAAAACAATCACGGAATGTGTCAGGGATCGGTTAATTGATAAGCATGTCCAGAATCGAGTGATCCTACATGGCAATTCGTCTACTAGAGAAAACACTGTACTAGACATGCATGAAGAGGAGGAAAATAATATGTAAGCCTACTAGTTGAAGAGGAAAAGTAATTACCCTCGAGGAGGTGCTGGAGTTGCCGTTAAGTGGCCTGCTAGGATTCCTTAAAAGAGCACCAGCAGGAGCTGCTGTTTCAAGATCTGGATAAGAAGTAGCAGAAAATCTCCAAAAAGGAGCTGTCTCACCCATCTTTTCCCGTTTCAAAGCAATCTATAAATTGCAGAGAGTTACGTTGGTTCATACATCAAAAAAGAGGAATGCATATACTGATGGAAAAAACAAACACAAGTCATAATTTATCTATAAAGTTATATCAAGAGGATCCCTTGTATGAATTGTCATCATCACCAACCAACATAACCATCTCCTAGATGTTTGAGCATTGATGGAAGTGTCTGAGGTTCTTTACAGACTGTCGCTTCTTGCTTCTACCTGATTCTCTGTCTTAAAAATTCTACCTACTTAACCAACTCACTGACCCCCTCCAGACAATATAACAGAAAAAGATAAACTAATTCAAAGAATAATGTAACCTATTTCTCAGGTCCTTTTTTCCTTTGATATATAAATATTAGTAAAAGTGTAGTAAACGAGAAGCGGGTGCAACCCATGTACATGCGAAGGATACTAGAGCTACAAAAACTACACTCAAGACTCCAAAATTTCAGGGACGCATTTGACGGTGGAACAATACATACAAAATGTAAAGCATGGAATAAATATACATATAAATTTGCATATTTTTATGCATAGGTATAATATTATATGTATACATCCAGCATTTAGAAGTGATATCTAGCCTTTCCAGTTCTTGCAAGTTCCTTAATGCCAAACTTGCTTAAATTTCTCTGCACAGCAGCCATCTTCCCAGGGTCTCCTGTGACCTGAGTCAACCACAAGAAATAAACTACCTTTAATAGCATACACGGCCTTGAAAATCATCATAGATCACAAATTCTAATTAAATAATTCTATAGACGTTCTATGTAATTTATTTATTGTTTTCAAAAGTACTTTCAAGATAAATAAGTTGTCCCCAACCGGTATAATATTTTAGCTGATCCACGAGTTTTGCATGAATACCAGTGACATTTTCTGCTCTCTAGTGACTCTCTATTATCTCTTCTTTCAAGTGTTCCCCCTTTTCTTATTTTGTACTCACTGTTCTTATCAACATATCAGCATCAGTTGATTTTAGAAATAAGAGTCGAGCATGTTATTTCCCTATAGAGAAGACCCGGGTAATTGGAACACAAGGCTTGGTTTGGTTTGGTTTGGTTTGAATAGGATGCATTAGAACATATCTTGCAAGTAAGTTCATGATTTCTCCAAGCCACATAAATAAAATTGTAAAGTTTCTGCAGCACCCTATATTATTATGAATGAAAGCAGTAAGCATACTTTTGTTAATTGGTTAAAGTGTGGCTGATCTTTTGCATTCTTGGAGCAGTGAAGCAAGATAGAACAAAGGCATTGAGGACAACCCCTTTGTATTAGTCTGTTTGACATAGTGGATTTGGGGTGAAATTGATGTTCATTTGATGGAGAAAAGGAGCATTTTTACATGATCAATAGTAGATCTTTGAGTTTTTTGCATAGCTGGGTGCAGGTAGGGATGGCAATTAACAAGCTTAAGGAGGTAACCCACCTCGCACTTATTAGGACGAGGTTGGGGGCATCCTAACCAAGGTAAGGGCAGGTTCATGGGGAGGAGCTTAAACCTGACTTGGTTTGAGATGGGAAAGGGTTTAGGATAATTCCTCCCCAACTATCTACTGCCATCACTAAAATTTCCCTACTTGTAATGTTAAATGCCGAAATTTCCCTACTTGTAATGTTAAATGCCGAAATTTCCCAGTTCTGATCAATTAAGGGTTTTCATTCTCAAGTATCCACCACTGCTTCTCTGTACCAGGTGATGTGGGGATGAGGTTGAGGCAGGGTTTGCATTAGTGTCTTAGGTTTGGGATTATATAAAAATGGTAAACCCGTCACAAGTTCTAAACATGGTTAGGAGAGGGGTCTCCTCCAGGAGTCCGGATCCTTTGCCATGGTTCCTACAGTACCCCAAAACAACGACGTCATTTGGGGCAAAATTTACATTAAAAAGATAAAAAAAACAAAAAGTAAAGAAGAAGACAGAGAGAAGAAGAAACTGAGAGGCCATATGATCTCATCAACACCCCTTACCTGGCGATCTCGCCATCCCAAACCCTTTTCCACCCCTTGCACGCCACCACCTTGCCCCCACAACCCACCTCTGCCCACCCGTACCCGCAGTTCGCCTTCACGAACTCAGCCCTTCCCTCATTCCTCTTCCTTTCTTTCTTTTTTCTTTTTCTTTTATTCTCCATCGTCTCAGATCATTCAACCTCTACAGACTAAGATCACAAGAACCCAACCCATCACTACCTCTCCACCCACCAAATCCAAACCTAGATTCAAAACCCAAAAACTGAGACCCATCATTTTTTCAACAAATCCAATTTGAAAAACATTCACAAATCCTAAGTCTGCATATGCACACTTCCGATAACCCTTAGAATGGATAATATTTCAGAAAGAGTCCAGCAAATAAGGTTATATTCACTGTGTATTTGACGATTGAAGTATTGGAATATAATTATAATTAACAAAAAAAAGTTTGAGTATTGAAGATTTGAAGTTTGAAAAAGATTTATGGAGTCAATAATGGTTAAAATCTATGAAAATGGGGTGGGAAAAAGGAAAGAGTGAGGGTTTTGGTTTCAAAGTGGGATTTGTACACAGAGTCATGCTTTCTAAGATTTTGAAAAGAAATAGTGTTTAAGCACTCCTTCCAAGCCACCACCGCCGCAACCAACCTCCTAAATCAGAAGAGAAAGAAGAACAAGGAGGAGGATGAGTGGGTTTGCGACAGTGGTGCTGTGGGGGTCAGAGAGTGGCGTTGAAGAGTGGGGTCGCGGTGGTGTGAGTTGCCTACAGTGTGCCGGAGAGTGGTGCCTCAGTTTCTTCTCCTCTCTCTCTTTGCCGCCTTCTTTTCTTTTCTTTTTGTAAATTTTGCCCCAACGTGACGTCATGTTGGGGCACTACAAGAACCATGGCAAAGGATCCAGACTCCTTCTACAGCCCCTTTGATGCAACTTACTAAATTATTACTAAAAGTCAACCCATTTTTAAAAAATATTGAAATGCTATGCTCTCTTAAAATCTGACAAAATCATTTGCATGCAGAAATTATTCATAGAGTTTAAACTGCCAAACCTTTCAAATTATCGTCTTTTTGTTTTAGTCTTTAACAAAGTTCTAGAAAGTTTATATATGCCAGTGTGGATCGTGGATGTCTGCATTTTTGGCCACTTGGAGTGATTATGTCGCTAGCATCTGTGTCTAAAGTCAGATATTAGGCCACATGTTAGATACAGTTCACAAGTTTACGATATAAAGTCACCTCAACAGTCAGTGAGTGTTCTGAAATATCCACAATTTTTGCTCTGAAGATGTCTACTAACCACATGATCTGCAGATTGAAACCAAATAATCAGTAATTGAACAGAGAAATCACAAATGAAATAACAACTGAAGAAGCAGGTATCAATTAACCTTAAATTTGAGGGGATGCTCACCTCATAAACTGCTTTTGCTTAGATATCAACTAGACATACTCATTTACTGCTTTTAAGTCCAAAAGAAAGGGACCCACAAACTCCTAATTTTTCCGAGCGTGCTTAACGGACTTGCCTTCTTCTGCTATTTTAGTAACATTCATTCATATAAAGCATATGATAGTTTGTTGAACACGTCAGTTGAGCTAGTCTCATAGATCCAAGACAAAGTCAGTTTGGCACTTCCTAAGACATGGCTAATGAACTCCTTGCAACTGTTTGACAATTCTGGTTCAGCCAAGACTGCGGGCACTATACAAGAAAATGTCATCCTAAGAAGCACAACACTTCTAACTGTGAAAATATTACGTAAATATATTAGAATAATTGTGTGAATATTAGATTGATTGTAGAATATAGGTTTATTCTTATTTCCTTTTTTAGATTAGGTCTATATAACTTGGTTATACTATTTGTATTATTGACATTTTTGAATATACAGATTGTTCAGAAAAATTACATGGTATTAGAGCCACCACTGGAACCCTAGAGCGCCAGAATCGTAGAGCACCAAAATCGTGATTCATGTTCACGAAATTAGGAACTCTCTGGTCGATCGAAGTTCTCTTGGCTCTTTCGTGACCTTCGGTCGAGTTCTCTCCCTAGTTCAATCACCATTGTTCTCTGGTTTGAAACCCTAGAGTTCACCATTGTTCTCTGATTCGGTACTCTCTCTTTCGGATTTCTTGGTCGTCTTCTCAGTGCTTCAACTTATCTTCTCTCTGGTTTTCTAGTTGCTTCGTCTGGTCCTCTGGTTGTCGCCCCATCCTTTGGTTCATCACGACCCATCTGAGCTCCAATCGTTACCCATCTGGTTCGTGGCTCATCTCTTCTGTTTCGCATCTCAATCTCTAGTTCTCTCTCCTACTTGCGACCCTTCGACTGGTGCGTGAGACACAGTTTAAGGGCCCTTTCTGGTTCGAAGAGTTGTGCGAGGGATCTCTCTCTCTCTCTCTTACTTCGGTTCCTGAGGTTGCCAGGTTGATCTCTATTGTAAAAAATGATGTGTTATTGATTGATGTATTTTATCTATTACAAATGGTGAGGGGCTCCTTATATAGGAGATGTAGTGGAGTAGGTGGTAGTAGGTGGTAGTGGTAGGTGTGTAGTAGGTGGTAGGTGTAGTAGGTGGAGTAGGTGGTGGTAGGTTTTAACAGCCCCCGCAAACTCAAGGGGGATAGGAACTAACCAACTTGAGTTTGGAGAGAGTAACAAAACAAGAAAATAATCTGAAAAATAAAAAATGGATAGGAGACACTGTATGGTCGTGTCAGACCGTTGTAGAAGACTGTATGGTTATGTCAGACCGATGTAGAAGACACTGGCTCGTGTCGGACCGATGTAGAAGACAGTTTATGGGGTCATGTCGGACCATTGTAGCAGACAATGTTGTGACAGTTTACGGAGTCTTGCTGGACCCTTGTAGAAACTAACCGGGATCAATGTCGGGACAGTTTACAAAGTCTTGTCGGACCCATGAAGGAGCTAACCGGAATCAATGTCGGGACAGTTTACGGAATCTTGCCGGACCCATGTAAAAGCTAACCGGAATCAATGTTGGGACAGTTTACAGAGTCTTGTCGGACCCATGAATGAGCTAACCGGAATCAATGTCGGGACAGTTTACAGAGTCTTGTCGGACCCATGAAAAGTCGCACCCTCAAAAGGTGTGCCCAATCTATCAAAAGGCGTGCCATCAAAAGGCGTGCCCAATCCATAAAAAGGCGTGCCATCAAAAAGCGCGCCCATGTTGACGTCTAGCGCCGAGCGGCGCATGATGCGCGTGTCTGCCTCTTCATCATGGTCTTTATAAACCGAAGCGGAGGCTAAGGCTTGGAAGCATAACAAACCAGTTGAAACCTCTTCGTTCTCTGAGAGCTTGTCGCTAAGAGCTGCAAATCTTAAAACACGCTGTAAACACTCTATAACCAACCCTTCTCTGAAACACTCAGCAACCCATAACATGGCCTCGTCTTCCCGTTCAGCTACCCAGAATATGGCCTCTTCGTCCCGTGGTCTGCTCACTCTCTTTCCCGACCTCAACGAGTCAACAAGAGAGATAATTGGTGCGGTAGCTAGTGAACCTCAACCAAGCGCCTCTGGTTTTGCTCCGTTGAACTTTCCGATGCGGTCGGTGGAGCAAAAAATGGCGGTGCAAACTGATATTAAGGCCAATCAGTATACATTGAAGTCATGTGTGGAAACCATGACTGCGGTCACAAACTTGTCGCACCGGCTGCAGAGCAGGACAAATGAGGTGCAACAGTTAAACTCCCAGCTGGCTCTGCTCCAACGCATGTATAAGGATGCGCGAGCAGAGATAAGTGTGCTTTTAAAAAATATTGAAATGCTATGCTCTCTTAAAATCTGACAAAATCATTTGCATGCAGAAATTATTCATAGAGTTTAAACTGCCAAACCTTTCAAATTATCGTCTTTTTGTTTTAGTCTTTAACAAAGTTCTAGAAAGTTTATATATGCCAGTGTGGATCGTGGATGTCTGCATTTTTGGCCACTTGGAGTGATTATGTCGCTAGCATCTGTGTCTAAAGTCAGATATTAGGCCACATGTTAGATACAGTTCACAAGTTTACGATATGAAGTCACCTCAACAGTCAGTGAGTGTTCTGAAATATCCACAATTTTTGCTCTGAAGATGTCTACTAACCACATGATCTGCAGATTGAAACCAAATAATCAGTAATTGAACAGAGAAATCACAAATGAAATAACAACTGAAGAAGCAGGTATCAATTAACCTTAAATTTGAGGGGATGCTCACCTCATAAACTGCTTTTGCTTAGATATCAACTAGACATACTCATTTACTGCTTTTAAGTCCAAAAGAAAGGGACCCACAAACTCCTAATTTTTCCGAGCGTGCTTAACGGACTTGCCTTCTTCTGCTATTTTAGTAACATTCATTCATATAGAGCATATGATAGTTTGTTGAACATGTCAGTTGATCTAGTCTCATAGATCCAAGACAAAGTCAGTTTGGCACTTCCTAAGACATGGCTAATGAACTCCTTGCAACTGTTTGACAATTCTGGTTTAGCCAAGACTGCGGGCACTATACAAGAAAATGTCATCCTAAGAAGCACAACACTTCTAACTGTGAAAATATTACGTAAATATATTAGAATAATTGTGTGAATATTAGATTGATTGTAGAATATAGGTTTATTCTTATTTCCTTTTTTAGATTAGGTCTATATAACTTGGTTATACTATTTGTATTATTGACATTTTTGAATATACAGATTGTTCAGAAAAATTACATGGTATTAGAGCCACCATTGGAACCCTAGAGCGCCAGAATCGTACAGCACCAAAATCGTGATTCATGTTCACGAAATTAGGAACTCTCTGGTCAATCGAAGTTCTCTTGGCTCTTTCGTGACCTTCGGTCGAGTTCTCTCCCTAGTTCAATCACCATTGTTCTCTGGTTTGAAACCCTAGAGTTCACCATTGTTCTCTGATTCGGTACTCTCTCTTTCGGATTTCTTGGTCGTCTTCTCAGTGCTTCAACTTATCTTCTCTCTGGTTTTCTAGTTGCTTCGTCTGGTCCTCTGGTTGTCGCCCCATCCTTTGGTTCATCACGACCGATCTGAGCTCCAGCCGTTACCCATCTGGTTCGTGGCTCATCTCTTCTGTTTCGCATCTCAATCTCTAGTTCTCTCTCCTACTTGCGACCCTTCGATTGGTGCGTGAGACACAGTTTAAGGGCCCTTTCTGGTTCAAAGAGTTGTGCGAGGGATCTCTCTCTCTCTCTCTCTTACTTCGATTCCTGAGGTTGCCAGGTTGATCTCTATCTATGCCTCTGTCCACGACTTCTGGTCCTTCTCAATTGGTTTGATATTTATGTTTAATTTGTGGATTATTACATTTTGGACCCAGCATTCTTCTAGTTATTACACTGTGGTCATCTGGTTCTGGTGTGATATAGCTTAACCCCTCAAGTTTTTTTTTTTTTTGGTTATTTCACTTGAACCCCTGGCTCGGCCATTTTACTCTATTTTGGGTTTATTACATTTGAACCCCTCAGTTTTCTAGTTATTATAATGTCTCTGGCTTCGAATGAGTGTGCCTTCTGCCATCAAAAGGCCCATTGGAAGTATCACTATCCCACAAAGGGACGTTTGCCTACCTCGTCTCTTCAACAGTCTCAAAACCAGTTTCGCGCTCCTCCTACTGCTTATATTGCATTTGTTTCATCTCCTGATCCTGACTTGACTTCCTTGAATGCTCAAATTTGTCAGCTTCAGCATATACTATCTACCTCCCAGCTATCCCAGTTTGCCTCCGTTGTTTCCTCACTTCATTCAGCTTTGCTTGGATCTTTTTCAAGTATCTCTCCATCTGTCTGGCTTTTTGACTCTAGTGCCTCTCATCATATGACTCTTCATCTCTCCTTACTTCAGAATTGTACTCCCTGTCCCTTTCCTCTTACTGTTAATGCTACTAATGGGTCCAGTATGTTTATTATATCTATTGGGTCTGTCCTATTGTCTACTATATCTACTGTCTCTATTCTATCTGTCATTTATGTTCCTCAATTATCTATCAGAGCTTGCATTTGCCTATGACTATCTCTCTGATTGCCTTTTCGTCTTTTCAGCTAGATTCTCTATCAAGTCATTTTTATTTGTGGCATTCTAGATTAGGGCATTTTTTTGCTGAACGCTTACATCCTTTGGCTCAGCCAGGTATATTAGGTAAAGTTTCTCCTAGTCAAATTACCGAGTGTTGGAAGTGTAAATTTGCCAAAATGACAACTTTGCCTTTTCGTAAAAGTACTTTTATATCGAATACACCATTTTCTTTAGTTCATACTGATGACTGGGCTGGGGTCCTTCTCTTGTTCTCACCAAAAGGGATTTTGCATGTTATGTGTCATTTGTTAATGACCACACCCGTTACACTTGGGTTTGTTTTATGACTCATAAGCCTGAGTTTCATCAGATATATTATACTTTTCAGTCTATGGTCACTACACAGTTTAGGTCTACTATTAAATTGTTACGGTCTAACTTAGGTGGTGAATATTTTTAAACAAAGTTCTGTGAGTATTTGCCCAATTTGGGTACCATTCACCAAGCTTCTTGTACTGATACATCTGTCCAAAATGGTCAAGCTGAGCGTAAACACCATTATCTCCTTGAGATAGCTAGGTCTCTCATTTTCTCTGCCTCTTTTCCGACTCCTTTTTGGGATGAAGCAATTCTTACTGTTGCTTTTCTTATAAACCATATGCCTACTCCCCTACTCTCTGGTCATTCTCCTTATGAGGTTCTGTTCTTCCAACTTCCCAACTACTCCATCTTACATGTTTTTGGGTCTTCTTGTTTTGTCCATTTTCTCCATAAAGATAAGACCAAACTTAGTGTCCGGTCTGTTCTGTGTGTCTTTTAGGCTATAGTCTTACCCAGAAAAGCTATCGCTGTTGTGACCTTATTTCTCGTCACCTTTATATCTCCCGCCTTTCTCAAACGTCTATCTTACTTTCAATTTCCTTCTGTCATTGTTCCAGTTTCCAAAGAAGATTTGGCTCACATTGATCTGTTTCCTTCTGAGGTTCCTCCAGATGAGTACATCTCTATTGTTTCCCATGAACTTGTTCCCTTTCCACTGACACCCATGAGTATGTTCCCTCTTCTCCTCCTCCTCCTTCTCCCCCCTCTGGCTCCATCTTCGTCTTCTCTTCCGTTGTTAATCTATTCTCGTCACAAGGCTCTTACTCCACCAGTTGTCTCTGCCCCTGTTGTCGATCCTCCTGCCTCTGATGACTCTGATCTTGCCAACTGTAAGTATCCCCTTCGCATCCAAAAACAGGTAATCAAACTTGGTTTTGCTAAAACATATTTTTCTCCTTCATACTGCGCATTTTTGTCTGCTATTCACTCTTTTTTAGAACCCCAGTCTTACAAAGAGGCCTACCAGGATCCTAATTAGATTCAAGCTATGGAGGATAAGTTGCCTGCTCTGTAGAAGACTACTACTTGGGAGCTTGTTCCGTTGCCTGTTGACAAAAATTTGATTGGTTGCAAATGGGTCTATAAAGTCAAGACTCACTCTAATAATTCTCTTGAGCGCTTCAAAGCTCGCCTGGTTGCCAAAAGTTTCTCACAGGAGTATGGTATTAATTATGAGGAGACCTTTACCCCGTGTCCATACTTTGATTTCTATTGCTGCTATTCGTCATTGGCCTCTCTATCAGATAGATGTTAAAAATGTTTTTCTTAATGGCCATCTCACTAAGGAAATTTACATGCGTCCTCCTCTTAGCCTTCCTCATTCCTCTGGACAAGTTTATCATCTTCGGCGTGCTCTGTGTGGTTTGAAACAATCCCATCATGCTTGGTATGATCGCTTTGAGGTCACTATCACTCAGCTTGGGTTTCATCCTTGAGCTCAAGATTCTGCTTTGTTTCTCATTTACACCTCTACTAGTTTTTGTTGCCCTGTTGCTCTATATGAATGATATAATCATCACTAGCTCAGACTCTTCCGCTATCTATGAGGTCAAGCAGCATCTTTTCTGCATCTTCAAAATGAAGGATCTAGGCCCCTTGCGGTATTTTCTTAGTATTGAGGTAGTTTCTTCTCCTAAAGGCTACTTTTTATCTCAGGCTAAGTATGCAAATGAGGTTATTCACCGTGTCGGTCTTACTGACACTAAAATTTCTACTACCGCCATTGAGCTTAATGTGAAGCTTAACACTACTAATTGTGTCCATTTGGATGATCCTACTTTATATCGAAAGCTCGTGGGTTGCTTAGTCTATCTGATTGTCACTCGCCCTGATATCACCTATGTTGTTCATGTGGTTAGCCAATTCGTTTCTACACTTCGTTCTACACATTGAGCTGCTTTGGTTAGCATTCTTGCTATCTTCGAAGTATTATATTTCAAGGCTTATTGTTGTCCTCCACTTCCTCTTTGAACTTGGCGGCCTATGCTGATTTTGATTAGGCTGGTGATGTTACTGATCGCAAGTCTACTTCTGACTTCTGCATCTTTCTTGGTAATTCCTTGATTTCTTGGAAGATCAAGAAACAAACATTTGTTACACGTTCCACTGTCGAGTTGAGACTGAATACTGTGCTATGGCTCATACCACTACTGAGATTGTTTGGCTTCATTGTCTCTTATATGATTTGGGTGTACCTCAATCTTCTCCGACCTCTCTTTACTGTAACAATCGTAGTGCTATTCAGATACTACTTCACAGTGTTGCATTTCATCTATAGCAAGCATAATGCTAACAACCACACACCTGTTTTTAGGGGAAGGTGGGGATTAGAAGATGTCAAATATTTCGCCTATTCCTATTTTTCCATATTTCAAGAAATGAAAGTTATTAGAACAAAAGATAACTAAAAAGGCTATACATCTTCTTTTGGGAAGGAATAATATCCAACAACAAATAAATAAATAAAAGTAACCATGCGGAGGAATCTTTGAAAAGAAAAAACTAAGCCCAAGTTTAAAGATTTGTGTCAATTACTCATACATACCTAAACAAAGTCCATAAACATAAAATTTATTACTTGCGACACTCTACAACAACAGGAAAGGCTACTATTTGCACCCCTAAAAGAGTTGTGGTATGCACCTCATGAAAAACCACAAAAAATTTAAACTTTTACCACAAAATAACATAATTTTTTCTCAGCACAAAAACTATAACTTTTTGTTCACTACAGAAAAGTGTGACTTTTACCACAAAGTGGCATAACTTCGTCATTCGTAACTTTAGAGTGCATATCATAAATTCGGCATTTGTAACTTTTACCACAAAGTGTCATAACAAACCACATAAAATTATAACTTTCACCAAAAAATTGTGACTTCCGCCCCTTTTTAGGGATGCACATAGTAGCCTTTCTCTACAACAACATTTCTAGCAAAGTAAAATATAGCTTTGGTTTTCCCCCATTGAAGTTGCCATCCAGGAGATGCTCTATGTTCTCCAGGTGGATGACCTGAGTTTTTCTTTGGGCAAATTACACTAATAGTCCCTATAGTTTGGAACTCATGTCACTTTAGTCCTGACTTTTCAATTGTGGCACATTTGATCCTGAATTTTGAATCTTGTTTCAAATAAGGACAATTGAACATACCATTGCTTAATTTCAAGGGCAAAATTGTCAATTTAATAAAATATAAACTGGTTTGACAAAAATAAACGTCAAAAAAAATTTTAAAATTTTTAAAAATTATTTCAACCCACCAAAAATAAAATTATGTAAAATTGATAAAAATTAATAAAAATTACATGATTAATTTTTAAAAATTAATTTTACATGATTATCATCCAAATACATAATAAAAATTAATTTGATAAAAAAAAATGTCCAAAAGATTTATCAATTTTATATAATTTTATCTTTAGTAGGTAGAAATAATTTTAAAAAATTCAAAAATAATTTTTTGACATTTATTTTTGTCAAATTAATTTATATTTTATCAAATTGATGAATTTGCCCTTAAAAAATCTAATAGTGTCTTCAATTGTCCTTATTTGGAACAAGATTCAAAATTCAGGGTTAAATGTGTCACGATTGAAAAGTCAGGAATCAAAGTGACACAAACCCCAAACTATAGGGACCGTTGGTGTAATTCAACCTTTTTCTTACACCATATATATTTTTAAGACGAATTACACTAATAGTCCCTATAGTTTGGGATTTGTGTCACTTTGGTCCCTGACTTTTCAATTGTGATACATTTGACCCTAAATTTTGAATTTTGTTCTAAATAAGGACAATCAAAGATATTTCTTTTACAAACGTTCCATTTCAAGGGCAAAGTCATCATATAACTTATTTTGTGTTGATTAACTTGTATGTTGTTTGAAATGTAATGGCCTTTTTTTAAATGAATAATATTGAAACTTTCTTTGTTATAAAGTTCTGTTTGGTGTGGTTTTCAGAATCTATTCTCAGAAAATTTTTCTAACAAAAAAAAATTAAATTGGTAAAAAAAATTGAAAACATATCATTTTTATATAATTTTATCTTTTGGGAGGATAGAAATAATTTTTTAAAATATTTTTTTATCTTTATTTTTATTAAATTAGTTTCTAATTTTTCAAAAGTCAACATGACGACAACTTTGATGTCATTATTAAACCAATCCATTATATCAAAAATTCCAAAACTAGAAATATTTCATATATTAAACACATTGATTACACATTAAAAACTTAATAACCATCCATTACATAATAACCATCCAAAAAAATATGTTAACAACAAATGCAACCATCTATTATATGATAACCATCCACAAACATCAACAAAAACAATCACCCATTACATTATCATCATCCAAAAACATACTAAAAAATTAATTTGGTAAAATAAATAAATAAATAAAATGTAAAAGATTTATCATTTTGATATAATTTAATCTTTGGTGGGTAGAAATGATTTTTAAAATTTTAAAAATAATTTTTTGATATTTATTTTCGTTAAACTAATTTATATTTTATTAAATTGACGACTTTGCCCTTAAAAAGGAGCGACGGCGTCTTCAATTGTCTTTCTTTGGAATGAGATTCAAAATTCAGAGTTAAATGTATCACAATTGAAAGGTCAAGAACTAAAGTGACACGAGTCCCAAACTACAGGGACCGTTAGAATAATTCGCACTATTTTTTAAAATAAAAAATGGAAAATAAGTGCTATGTAGTAACCTCGGCTCTTGTGCTTGGATCTGCATTCAGTTTTATGAGCATTAGTTCACGCTCCACATGTGGTTCCTTTGAAAGATCTTCCACCTAATACATCATACGCAAACAAATTACTCAAAATAATCATTTGCAAGGGAAGAACACAATTTTGATCAAATAGACAGAAAAAGAAAATTAATTATCTCCTCATGTACTACCCCTCTTTGCTGCTTTTCAAAACTTCTAATAACTAGCTTCCAGCACAACAGCACATAAACCCATCAAACCTCATCTGTTCTTTGTTTGTGACACAAAACAGCAAGAAAACCATTATTCAAACCTCATCTGTTCTTTGAATCACCAGGTCAGTGTTTGTAGACAGCATTGCAATAAACCCCTCATTCTCTGATATTTTCCTCCAGCATTACTGATTGACGCCCTTTTACTCACAAAATCTGATCCACTGGTTTGAGTTTCAATGTGATACAAATCCTAAATCTATTCTCCTCGTTCTTATTTACTTAGATTACTGCTTTTCCATTGTGATGATTTTAGCACCTAAAATCTAATAAAACCACTTCTAGTTTTTATTTTCTTTGGAAATACTAGTACCAGAAAATTTTGAGAGGAGTTTCATTAAAACCTTGTGACTATTACTAAACCAAGCATAACATTACCACCAAAAAAGTAGAGAACAAAATTCAACCACTTTCAACCACGCATAAAATAGAACCACAGTCTATAAGGACAAACTATATGTGAAGACAATAAAAAATTAAAGAAAATAATAATGAAAACACTCCCACAAAGGAAATCACAGATTAGTTTGAAAGAAAATCAGAAAAGGATCAGAGAATCAAAAGCCCAAGAAACATGCAAAACAATGGATGGTCTCACCATAAATTCAACACAGACATTGTAGCATAGGATTGTCGCAAAAGTCACCAAGGATGTCTACCAAACTTCAGAAAAGTGTGTGTGACAAAGAATGGGATATAGAATAGGGAGAAAAACTGGAAGATTTAGATATTGAATAAGAAGCACAAACACTTAGACGAAGATGGCACGTCCGTGTTTGGTTTGTTTCAGATACTGACACTCTTCAGACACTTCCCAATACATGTTGAATACACATCAAAACATGTCCTATTATTTTTAATTTTTTTTATAAAAAAAATAATAAAATAGACACAGTCATGCTTTAGACAATTGGGGGAGGGGACACATGCCCATGGAATTCTGTAGTCAAACCCAAGTAGTTCCTGCAAGACTTTGTAGAATGGAGTTTAGTTAAGGGAGGCGTAAGAGAACCAATGAAGCAGTCAGAGGATAGCAAGTAGGACTGCAACTCAAGCGGGCTGAACCTGAGAACACAAGCCCAACCCAACTTTTCTTAGTTTTGGGCAAAAGTTTTCCCAATGTGAGTCTGGCACTCTCTTTCTCTCTCTCCCTCTATTGTTGATGCAAATCATTCCTAATAACAGCGTTATCAATGATCACTCCTACAGAACACACCATCTTCAGGTGGGCATTCCATCCTCCGTTGCTGGCCAAGCACATCAAGGCCTCTCTTGTGAGGCAGTTCAACCAAGCAAAGCTCATGGAGGGCCAGAACCCCAAAGACTGTGATGGAGCCTAGGTTGACAAATAGTATCCCATATACCCTTAATTCCATCAAACTTATCCCAAAAAATCTTGCATTTTTTTCCAACCAAATCACCAAAAGCAACACACAAATAACACTTTCCTAAAAAACTCGAGCTTTCCCATTATAACCAAAAAAATCCTTCAGTCACTAACATTTGACCACATGACATGTAATTTTTTTTTTTTTTATTCAAGCCACATGACATGTAATAGGTATCACCCAATCCACCCCTACCAATCCAAATAATTTCCACCATAAAGCCAAAGCTAAGAGGCGATACAAAAATAGATGATCAAAACTCTCCTCCTCCCACCTGAACATAACACACCACTTTGGCCCCGTTTGTTTTCAGAGGTAAAATGGAGGGGATTCATAGTGAGAGATTAATAGTAAGGGGATTAAGTAAAATTATGTTTGTTTTGATGATAGTTGTTAGTTTAGGAATTGTTAAATTATTTTTATATAAAATAATAAAACAAATAAAAAAATTAAACATTAATGTTTAAAAAAAATTCCCAATATGTAAAAAATAAAAAAAATAATAAAAAAATTTCTAATCCCTTCATTATTTTTCTAATACCACCTCCACCATCCCAATCCCCCTTCCAACCTCCATCTTAATTCCCTCCTCCATCCTAATCTCTTCCTCAACTCTACAAACAACAACAACAACACTAAATAACCCCACCTCCATCCTAATCCCCTCCCATCTATTACACCCCAAAACAAATGGGGCCTATGGATATAAATAATAATTAGGTCTCCTTATTTCCTTAGTTACATTTCCGTCATCAAATTAATCCAATGAGCCATTCCATTGAAGCTACCATGCCTCTAGCAAGAAGTTAAGTGGATGTGGGCAGCTGATCCTGCTATGCCCAAAATCCTAGAAGAAGATATCTTATTAGCAAAAGTAGAAAAATAAAACTTAAAAAACATCCTAATACTCTTAGCCACATTAATTGTCAAGGCATGGACCAACGAAGGGAGAATATTTTCATATATTTGGAAAAAAAGGGACATACAAAGGGTAAAATGCAATACTCTTCATGCCTAAGCAAGCACGTGTTTATGTGTGTGCAAGCACGTGAACAGAGATGTGTGTGGACACTATTACTAACATAAAAGCATACACACAAACACTAACTCAAACAACACTCACATGCACATGTGCTTAGAACTTATCTTAGTTGTCAAGCTCTAAAGCACCCTTAGCTATCTTCTAAACAATTACTGACGAAGCAAAATGTTGAAGTGGGGTGAAGAAAGAAGGAAAGAAAGAAAGGAGAAAGAAAATTAACTGGACACTAATGCTGTGTTTGGTTGAGAAATTTGAGGAGGGATTTGGAAAAGGAAATGGAAAAAGTAGGTGAAATATAAATAAAACATGCTTATATTTCACCTAATTTCACACACTTTTTCCCTTTCCCTTTCCCTTTCCCTTTTCCTTTCCCTTTCCCTTTCCCTTTCCAAATTACTTCCCAAATCCCCCAACCAAACACAGCGTTAGGATATTTTTGCAAACAAAGTCAACTTGAAAATGGGCAAGTTGTAACCTGTATGACATTCACAAGCTTATTGAGTTGTTCTACAACTTGTTGCAAAACCTTTTCGGTTCCACAAACAACTATAGTAAAAAGAGCCTTGTCCTTGTTCAAACCAACAGCAAGAGACTCGATGTTGTAACCCCTCCTAGCAAACACCCCTGCAATTCGATTTATTATCCCGCTTTCATCCCCAACAAACACTGAGATCGTGTGGCGTTTAACCCTGAAATAAAATGAACATTACATTACAACCACGTTAGACATTTCAGACATACGTATCCTGAAACCAAAACACATTTTTAGACTTTGTACAATTAATTAAGAACTTGGGGTTAACTACAGCCATATGTTCTAATAAAGTTCAAATGTATAGGCACAAATCGTTGCAAGTCTAACATTAAAATTCATGGTGCCACCCCCAGCCCCTTAAAAAACAAAAAACTTTTCAGCATCTGGGGAAACAATAGGCTTTTCACAGGGAGCAATAGTGATCTAGCTGATCATACACAGAGGAAATACCCTGGCAAATCCCATACAGCAACAACTTTGATAACATCCAATACAAAAGTATCGGTTTGGGGTTATTTTCATGCTTTCTAATTGATTGATTTGTGTGACGCACCTCCTTTTTAGCAAAGGATCGTGTATATATATATATATATTAGTTTGACTCTTACAATTATTTCATGGATACTTTGATAAAAGAATCGACAAAAGGCTAAGCAGTTACTACTTTTAAACATGATCACACAGGGCATTAAACAAAATAAAAATGGTGCAAAATGCATAATCACAACAGGGCATTAACCAACAACAATAACTAAGCCACGTACAAAGTCTTGCACTGTCATATTCTTAATTCAACACCCTAATCTCCAAGTTCCATTTGCACTATTGTTTTTGATAAGCATATTTTTTTTATATCCTCTTGAATTCACCAGAACCCTCTTTCCATAAAAATGGTTTGATTGAACCAATGAGTAACAACATATATAAATTAATACAAGGAAAGGACTATAATAATAATAATAATAATCATAATAGGAATTCTACTCGGAACACAACTATACAAGTCAAATTGTAATAAAATATTATAACAAGAAGATTAATTATTAGATATAAAAATAAGAACAAATAAAAATTATTATAAATAAATAAACTCATTCCCACACATCAACCAGTTGCGAAACGACGCCAATCAGGGGGAAAAATTAATAATAATAATAATAGCTAGTTTGTAAGACCCAGCTCAAACTCAATTAAAAAAATGAAACCCCCGTCTCCCATTTCAAATGTTACAAGTCTCACAATACAAGCATGTAATTAGATATAGATAGAGAAAAAGAGAAAGGAGTACATATTAGAGGAGCGAGTGAGGAGGGGAGTAGCAGCAGAAGAAGAAGAAGACAGCGATGATGGTGCGTTTCCAGTGCTTCCATTTGCACATGCGGTTGCAGAGAACAGCATTTGTGGTAGTTTTGTTTTGGGTTCCGGGTCCACTGAGTCTGCAAAATGTGAAACTCTCCTCCGAAGCCCTCTCTTCTTCCCTCTAACCCCCAATTCCACCCTGCAACTACCGCCGCCGCCGCCACATGATGCCAGTGCTTTCACTGCCGCCGCCGCATTACTCATGGACGTCCTTTGGTACGCTGACATAGCTGCCGCCGCTGCCATGACTGCCTCGCTCTCCAACTCAATAGAAGCACCCCCACCACTGATGCGACGATGGTGACGCTGAGGAATAAACGAGACCGGGTCTTATAATAAATAGCCTTCTTTTCTGTAACAAAAATGCTAGTAAAAAGATGCTTTTATATGGATGTGACCCACACATTTTTACCAAATATTTTGGGTTTGTTTGGATATCTTAAATAAAGTATATTTTTTTATTTTTTATGAAATATAAATTAAATTTAAAATGATGTGATAGAGATGTGATATGATTTAAATAAAATGATATGACTTAAATAAGAAAATAATTTTTTAACTTTTTGACTTTTTTTTGAAGATGTCAAACCAAGCCTTTATATAGATGTAAGACCTATACGTGGGTCCACACCTATGTTAAATATTTGATAAAAATTTTAAGATTTGAAATATGACTCTTAATTGTACCTTTTTACCAAACTATCAAATTTAATATTGATAACAAAAATGTTAAAAATTTCAAAAATTCTATTAAATATATATGTAGGATCACATATATAAATTTTTATGGTCTCTAGCCTTACTCTATTTATAAATTTTTAAGATCTCTAGTATTACTCTTTTTATAAATATGATGGGGCTTGCCTCCAGTCCACCATCTGGACTAGAGGGTCCAATTTGGCCAATTGGGCTCACTTTTAGATACTTTTTTGATAATTCAAATAATTCACATTTTAAGATTTGTTAAGTACATTATATTCGTAAAAAATCACGTCGATCGAATAACAGATACTATGTATTCAGATCACCTTTTTATAAACCGTTAATTTTCTGACCGCCTATTTTTTCTACACAAAAGTGATCTGAATACATAGTACCTATTATCCGATCGACGTGATTTTTTATAGGAATAATGTACTCAACAAACTCAAAAATGTGAACAATTTTGATTATTGAAAATGGGTCCGAAAGTGGGCCCAATGAACCGAAATGAACCGAATTGTTCCAAATCTGGACTGGAAACCGTCTGAACCCTTATAAATAATAATTACACATCGATAGTAAATTTTATAAATATTACTAATAATTAAAAATATAAAAATTTTCATGTATCTGCAATTATTTTTTAAAAAATAAAATGAATTGTAATTTCTCCTTATATATTTACAACAATTAGCGCCAAATTGATGGGAAAATTTTTTGGTGTCCTTTATGCAACCTACCACTAAAATTTGTAATTTTATCACAAAATTTTGTAACATTAATTAAAAAAAACATAATCTTATCACAAATTAGCGTTACAAAAATGTCATAATTTTTTGTGACGAAATTACACATTTTATAATTAATATTACAAATTTTTGTGATAAAATTATACATTTTTTTGTAGTAAGTTACATATGGTAGAGCATTTCTGGGGCTTTTCCCAAATTAAGCAAAATTAGCAACTTAATTCCCAAACTAGGCCTAATTTGGACGGAATTCCCAAACTAGGCTAAAACATGGTTCATAACCACGCTTTCAACGTTTTTGTGGCTGTCGCGCGGAAATTTCCTGAAATCGTAAAAGCCTGTTTTCAAACCACGCTTTTGATTAAGAAAGCGTGGTTACAAACCACGCTTGTAATTAATTTTTTTTTTTTTTATGAAAGCGTTTTTGTGAACCACGCTTTTAACTGAAATTTTTTTTTTTTTCTGAAAACGTGATTGTGAACCACGCTTTTAACTAAAAAAAAATTCTTCTGAAAACATGGTTGTGAACCATGCTTTTAACTAAAAAAAATTTCTTCTTAAAACGTTGTTGTGAACCACGCATATACTGTTCGCCGAAAAAAGCATGGATGATAACCACGCTTTTACTATTCATGTAATTTTTTTTTTTCTGTTGTCTTTATTTTGGTGATAATATAATTCAAAATTTTTTTTTGGCTTTACTAAAGCCGTTCTCATGTTAAAAAAAAATTTATTTCCTTTGTCTTTGTTTTGGGTTAGAAGGTGTAATTCAGAAATTTTTTTTGGCTTTACTAAACCCGTTTTCATGTAAATTTTTTTTGTTTTTTCCTTTGTCTTTATTTTGGATTAGAAGGTGATAATGTAATTCAGAAATTTCTTTTGGCTTTACTAAAGCCGTTTTCATGTAAAAAAAAAAAAATCTTTGTTTTTGTTTTGGGTTAGAAGGTGTTTGTAGACCGCCCCAGAGAACTCCCGCTCTCCGCGCCGCGAGGGGCGCGAATTCGTTTTGTTCTGAGCTACTACAGCTCAGACTCAATGTCACGGTTTTTAATCTAGTCTCACAAAGTGCAATGTGAAACCGATAAATCACCAAAGAGTCCAAAATCCGGCAAATCATTTTGGAAAACTGATTTTATAAAGAAGTGCCAAACATGGACTGCTTTGCCAGATACAGAGCTGCCACCTAAATATTTTATTTTGGGGGAAATTTAGGAAACTCTGACTCGTGCCTAAGGCCATGTGTCCATCATCACCAAAGTTGTCTCGGCTCGGGAACTTGGGTACGAGAAGAGAAGGTCATGCAATGAACACCTCCGCTCGCCTGATCAAAGATCGGCCTGTACTAGGCATGATATTTTGTTTATGAAAACACATGTGTTCTTATTCCGGTTATTAACCTATAATTACTATGTGATGCACACAGCATACAAGTATAGACTAAATCGCCTAAGTTGGAACAAAACATTTCATGTTTGTTTGTGAAAATGATTTGAAGTTTGCTACTCGCAAGTAGGATAAATCGCGGATTTCAATGAATTGTTCCAATTCAAGCAATCCAACCTTCACCCACAGGCATTCATACAGTTATATCAAATAAGCAGTTAGCCTCATGGCAAGCATGCTTTCATGGCAACATTAACACATGCAGTATGCTAAAACGTAAACATTCACAGTGTACTCCGAGCCAAAACAGAGAACTAGTTAGAAATCATGCATGACCCGAATTCATGTTAAGATGGCTAATGCAACACATGCGAAATGCAACTAAGATATGCTCGGTTATCTAGAATGGCATATGAATGCGACAATTCAATACATGTATTCAACTTGGAATTGAAATACAATGCAGTTAGTATGATGCATCGAGCCCGGTGCATACAAGACAGATGAATGGATACACGCATGCAAGCATAAGGTATGCTAATCGAAATATGCCATAAAACTAACCATCGTAAGCGATTAAGTAAAAGAGAGAAAGAAATGGGGGTTGGAAGACATGCATCACACACACGCACGCTTATTATAACAGCTGGCCCTCTCGACGGAGAGTCCGAATAAGAAGCTAACTAACTAATCTAAGCTAATTAAACTAATTATTACATCTCAAAATTTGAATAACTAGCTACAACTAATTATTACAAAACAAGCTAATTAATTAACAAGTTAACTAACTAGCTAATCAAATACAAATAAGTAGCTAAATGCATTAACTGCTTAGGCACAGAACCAAAGCATAAACTAGCTAAGGAAAGCAATAAAGCAAGGTCCTCGGAATGAGGAGTGCATGCATGCTCGGTCGCCTCGTTCGGAAATTCGTCGCGATGCCCTAACTTGCCTCTATTTGCAATTATTCTCAAAACATTGCACCAAGCTCCAGAAAGCTTTTAACTCACCTTAGGGACCTGTGGAAGGGCTGCCGACCACCTAGGGGTGTTCCCAGCCACTGGCCGACCACTTTCTATTGCTGCAAACCAGAAAAAGTGGTCGGCCAGCTAGTTTTTCTGGTTAGCCGACTAGTTTTTGCTGCACTTCTCCAATTTACTACAACAGAGAGCAAGAAAGGACATGGCAATGTATTTGCAAAATATGTGTGCACAACCACCCTCTCTATCATTTCATAAGCTCAAAGGAGCGTAGTTCTCGACCCTCGGGCCACCAATCACGCATCTCGATGCATGATGGCCAAAAATCCGAATTGCACAATTTAATGTAAAATGAATGCACACATAAACACATAAAGCCTAGAACTCTATCATGTATGATCAAGAGTGTCAGTGACCGAGAATTGAGGCACGTTTCATCACTTCAAGTATGAAACGTCCCTCATTCCTCGTGTTTTCACTAACACCCAATCCAAACAAATGCAATGCAAGTCAAGCATGCAAACATGCAATGCAACTACATGGCATACACAATGCAAAGAATAACATGGCATACATAATGTAATGTAACATGAGCATACACAATGCAAACAACAACATGGCATACTCAATGCAATGTGATATAAGCATGAAAACAACATGGCATACACAATGCTAAATGGACTTAAACAAAAAGTGGACAGACCTCAGTCATGCCCAAATCAGTGGCCATAATGATGAAACTAAGGCATGAAGTACAAAGTAAATGCATGCACAATGCAAAGGCCCATTGACCGGGCATAAGAGCACAACTCTCAAGAGTGCTCAAAGAGTGACAAAAGTGGAAGTGTAACAACACTGTAAGCTCTGAAACTAAGTAAGAAATGATGCCAAATCATTCAAACAATAGGCACAAGGCATGCTAGAGTCCTTAAGGCATAAGGCTAGCAAAGAGCAACACATAGGAGACATGCAAAACATGGCACAAATGCATGAACCATCCACAAACAGAGCTAAAGCAGGTCTGAAAAAAGACCAAAATATGCTGAGATGGGGGCTCAAATGCCTAAGCATGCAAGCATACACATTAGGCCATAAGCTAGGCAATAATGCATAACACTCAAAGGCACTTAAAGAGTGAATGAAGTGGGAACATGACAAGTCTATATGCTCTGAAATGTCATGTGAAAGGATGTCAAATCATGTACACAACACAAATGAAGCATGCTATGGTACCCAAAGCTTGAAGCTAGCATAGGCATTTGCACTACAACTATGCAAAACGTGAAGCATATGGTCAAGGACACCCAAAACAGTCCTAGAACATGTCAAAATGATGCTAAAACATGTATGGAAGGAAGCCAAAATAAGCTAGCATGAAGGGCATAAGGCATGGAATATGCAAGGCCAAAAGGGAGGGTTATACTACACCTACCAAGACCAAGCATGGGATGGCTTTGCCAACAAAAATCAGAGTTATATCATGGAAAAAAAACCCCAAAAACACATTGAAATGATAGCTCGCAAGCTTAGGCATGA